GTTTAAAAGCCGAGGAGACTTGCTCTTCATTTCTAAGGCAGTACCAGTAAGGGCATCCTGAAAGATAACTTCCAGCCTGCTACCAGACTCTGGCTGCCTGCAACAGCCCTGGACCAACAGTTAACCCGAGGACCAGCTCCTCGCCAGTCCTCGGGATGCTCCGCCCACCGGAGCACCAAGTCTAGAGTGCCTGTCAGAAAGAAGCCGAAGCCCTCCTCCCAAGCCCGGGGGCAACCCTCCCGGGAGGCAGTTTCCCTCTGCGCAAGGGTAAGGAGAGTAGGCCAGGCGGCGCGGCCCAGTTGCTGGCCCCTCACATCCCGCCGGGTCCGCACGTGGCCTCGCCCCAGTCAGGCCTCACCCTCCTCGGGGTCGGCCTCAGGATCCGCCTCACGCGGTCGCGGGTTCAGCAACTGTTCCAGCTGCAGCGCCAGGGGCTGCGGCCTCGCCATCGTCAGCGGGTCTCGCTCCGCGCCGCGCACGTGAACGTGCGGCCCCAGCCCGGACACTGTCTCCTCGCCGAATCCTCTCGCCGGGAGACCGCTCCCCAGCACCGCTCGCACCGCGCGGAGCCGGGCGCCCAGCTTCGGGCCGGCAACTTCCGGGAGGCGCGCGGGAGGGGCGGGGCCTGCCGCGTCACTGGGGGCGTTGCTAGGATGAAGGCGGAAGCTCCCGGAAGGCTGAGGAGATCGTCGCAGTTCGGGAGCGTGTGCGCGTGCGCGCCTGCGCGTGCGTCGAGGGGGTGTGTTCGGTGGTGCGGGAGCGCGCAAGGGCACGTGGACGCCTCTGGTGCCGAGCAGAGATTGTGAGGCGCGCGGCCCATGTCGCCTTGCGTAAAATGTGCCTCAAGGTTTATCCGAGATTTGCTTTGTCCGAGATTTGCTTAGAAATAAAGTGTAATGTAGCCGTGATTCATGGTGGCTGATTTGGGAAGAAGAAGGGAGTGAAGGGTAAGCCTCTAGAGCCTCAGGTACGCTTTCAGGCACGCACAGACTGGGACCAAAAACAGGTTTGGCATTTCACAATTTGGAGGAGTCTGGGTCCGGGACCACGCGCTGACCGGGATTTGGGAATCCTACGTCAGGGATGTGCATGTGTAAGTGTGCAGCGGACTGCTGGCATCTTCACCAACAGGAATAATTAGAAATCGCTATGGCTGTACATAAATAAAGATTGATTCTGTAGCTTCTCCAAGTAGCTGTATCTGAGTAGGGAAAAGGGGGTGGAGTGAGGATTATTCTACTGCACACCCGTCGGTATTGATATCCTGGCTGTTCAAAGATGAGGGCATACTCAGACACTTGAAACTGATACACAAATGCAGAAAAACTCTGGTCTATTGTTAGAGGGGCACAGGCAGACTCTAAATGTAAAGACTTAATACAATCGATTTAATTGCACCCAGACACGTGGAAAGATACAATCCCTTTATATTCTCTTTCCTTCATCAAGCATTCCCTGACTGCCCGCTATGTGGCAGGCACTACTACAAGAGATACAAAGATGTGTAAGTTAGATTCTCTTCTGACGGTGATCAGCCCAGAGGGGCAAACAGACATGTAAGCAGAAACTGTAATAAGGGGTGATAAGAGTGAGTACAAAGTGGTCTATCCTTCCAGTATCTGTTTGAGGTCACCTGTAGAGACCTAGAACACCCTAACCAGAAACTGCCTCAAAAGGATCCATAAAACAGACGGTAGGGGTACCTTGTGTGTACCTTCTTGAGTACAGCCCACACCAGTTGGATTCCACAGCTGGACACCCTGGGGAACCTTCAGCTCCCCAGTGTCTCCTGTGGAACCCGAGGGAAGGGAGGGTCCCTGACTTTCACAGCGTTCATATGCCCTCAATGTCAAGAACAATGAGAGACCACCACTTTAGTGTGGCTTGTCCCATGTCCCCTTCCTAGGTGGCTGCAGAGGGAAAGGAGAACCTGACTTAGGATAGCCACCCTCAGACAGGGAAGGGAAAGAATGCCAGACGAGGCTGGGGCACCCAAGGCAGGGGACTCGGGCAAAAAAAAACCCCTGCATTTCACCGTCTGCAAGGAAACAGCTTTTTTTTTTTTTTTTTTTTTTTTAACACATCCCCTGTAATTGCAGTCTGGGGTCTGTGCCTGGGGAGTCCAGAGCAAAAGCATGCTCGGCAGGATTCGACAGGCGGCCGTTGCCCTGGGCTTCAAAGGACAAAAATGTTTCTCTTACCCGACATTTAGGAAACTACCTCCCCCAGTCCTCTTCCCTTCCTATTTTGGACACTAATAATGCTTAGAAACCTGGCCTTGGGGTAAAGAAAAGGGAGAAAAGGGGGAGGGAAACAAGCAGGTCAGAAACCATTTCTAAGCTGCCATGCAAACTGGACACTGCTGGATAGTTCTAGGCAGGAAATGCTCTACACCTGCTTACCTACTGTCCCTTTTCTGTCCTGGTCCCCCCTGACTTGGGAAGCCTTTGGAGGAAGAAATCAAGACCACTCTACTCCTGTCACACACACATCCCAGGACCCCAAAATGCTTCCCCTGCTTTCTCACAACATACTGGGGGGGAGGGGGGGGTGACTCCAGAAGTGGAGGAAAGAAGAAAGAATTCTAGGACTTAAGATGCAACTGAGAGAAGTTGAGAGCGGCAGGAGAGCAGCCTCCTAAATGCCCTCTCTGGGGGGCCCTCCCTACTTGCATTCTAGTTTCTTGAGAAGGGAGGAGGGGTTTCCTCATGGGGATGGGGATGAACATAGAGGGTGGACTATCAGAGGGGATATTTCAAGACTATACCTCCTGGAAGAAATTGAAACATCTGAGGGCTCTAGAGATGACAGCAGATGAGATGAGACGGGGAATGGGTGTAAAGGGGAGCACTCTCCCAAAAGAACAGCCTTCTCCAGAGAAGGTCGGAGGGTCTCCCCACTCACACTTCCTCTGCCTGCTGCCCAAGGGCTGCAAAGTGGCAGACAGATGTGGGAATAGCAGAGGATGGGCAGGTGTGACTTTGAATACCCCTCCTCATTGTCCCAATCAACTGTTCACATGACCAGGAGTTTCAAGAGCTTAGGAAAACCAGGTACTTACCTGCCTCTCTTCTTAGATGCCATCAAACCCCAGGTCCCAGGCCCCTGCCAGTGTTTGTCTGGTTCTCCATGCATAGTGCTCCCTCACCTTGTCTCGCCCTAGAGCAGGCCCCCCTAGCATCCTCCAGTCTGGAGAAATTGGGTGGGTGAGCTTTAACTCCCTCTCCCCGGACAGATGGTGGCTCCCTGCTGCTGGAACCCTCAGGGCAGGTGGCGAGAGGCACAGAGGTGGTGGCTTTAAGATGGCCTTGGGAAGAAACCAGGCTACCAAGCCAAGCCGGAGAGGAGACTTCCCTCCTGGGTGGGAGAGGACCGTGGTGATCCCCTCCTGCCCTCGAGCCTCTCCCAGGAGCTCCCAGCCGGGCCTCATGGGGATGGTGCAGTGCTTCTTTGCACCTCAGGGCCAGAGGTAGGTACTGGGGCTCTCCTGGGACGGAGAACAGTCCCTGACAATTCTAGATCTCCTTCTCTTGGTGGCTTCAAATTTGGCTGCTAAGCCTTGCCACCTATTCAGGTATTTGTTGGGGTTCAGGATGCAGCACCAAGGGGGAGAGACTGCACTGCTGCCATGGAGTCAGAGAGAAGAATTAAGTCCACACTGAGCACCCAACTCTAAAACGCTTCTTATCAAGTACCCAATTCCACAATAAAGCTGCTAAATAATTCAGCAGCCTTGATAGGAAAATACAGCTTCCAATGAGCGTATGTTCAGTTAAATGAATGTCTTTAAAGGGGGTAGCTATAATGAATAAGTTGGCTATGATTTAATGTATATAAACGCTAAACGGGCAAAAACAAGCCGATCCAGTGATTGCATACAAAGCAGATAAAGAAATGTGCTGCATGCAGAGGCTAGGAGTAAAAGTCTCCCCTGTATTTCATAAATTTGGATTTCTGAAAGAACACTGTCAGGTTCCTCCCTGATAATCCTCCCCATTAGATAAGCCGTCATATGGATGCAGTGAAATATTGCTTATTTTAAAGCCTTCTCTGCAGGAAAGATACACTTGGTTGTGTCTTAAAATATGAAAACAACACTAGAAATTACATACCATTTAATGTAAAACCTTTGGTTTTTTAAATAAGGAAATAAATAATCCAGACTGAAATCTAGGTGATATGGAAAAGAAATTCTGGAACTCTAATAGCATCTGATATTCAAACACACACAGGTGTTTTTCATAGTAGATAAAACATTTGAATTCCTTCCATGTTTAATGAAGGCTTGGAAAAGACTGAAGTACTTTTCAGAACCTATTGGCAACTCCCAGTTGAAATTTGATTTCTATATTGGTTATTTTTGCTCATCTTTCAGAGAAACGTAATATGTATCTTGTGCCAGGCAAAATAGTTTTCCTTCTGGGGAACTTCAAATGTAACAAATACTATAAAACAACTATTTCATATCCGTTCTGTGAAAGGGATTAAAGTATTTCATTGCTAGCCGTACTGTACATTCATTTTATGTTATCTTTCAAACCGCTAAATTAGAAAGCAGGATTATCTATGGGAAGTGAATTGAAACTGAAAAGGACCACCTCTAACTATATATTTACAGGTAACTGACATTTACAAGTCCAGTTTTGCATGCGCAGAGAGCTGGAGAGAGAGAGTGCACGGGATCTCATGTCTAATCACAGACTGGGACCACTCATTTTTAGCCATGGATTTGATTTCCATTTCAAATTCTGTATTAACTTATCAGCAAATATCTCTTCAACTGTATCAGTTAAATCCACAGAATGCAAATCTGTAGTTAATAACAGCAGGGAGCCAGGGAGAAAAGCTTGGCTGGCATTAGCAAAGGAGTTCAGCCCCAGACAAGGTAAAAACAGATACCCTAGTCCTGCCTCTCTTTCTCCTGGTTTCTGAGGGGTCATTCAGCTCCCCAACAGGTCTCCCCATCAGTTGTTAAAACATCGAATAACACACCAATTATCTAAACATCAGATTTTCTATTTTTATTAAAAACTCACAAATTTATTCAACATGTTTTCTTTCATACAGTGAATGGTCTAATATGCACTGGAGGTCACACAAGCTTAGGTTTATCAGAACAATAAAAGACATATGAGAAATTTAAAATATAAAGAAAAAAGTAGCAGCTGTTGACTGCATATTTGACCATAAAATTTAAATATTTTGGACTTTTATTTTAAAGACACAAAAATAAAACCTGTGTGGGTCTATATAAGTCATATTAACAATTCCATGAATGTTCAACAGGACTAAAAATTAGCAAAGATGTTTTTTTTTAAACCTTGTAACACTTTTTTTATTTTTTAACACTTTCTCAGGTTGTGGTGCCAGGCACCTTTACAGTATTTGTGCTATAATTATTCTATTTGGCAAGTGTCTGAATATCATGTTTTCTCTTTGCCTTGTGTAAACAACACCTTTTTACATACTAGCACAGTGAGCTGCGAGCCCTGCAAATCTGTCAGAACATCTACAGGAAGAGAAAATGAACAATTTTGGTTGATTGCTCAAAACGTTTTGTTTTTGAACAAGAGGTTTCAAAATAGGATATATTAGTAAAACACTGAACTCCTGAATTTAACATTATACGTAAACAGTTGACTGTTTTTAGTTCAATAGTCTTTTTTTTTTTAACGTTTTGTGTGTGAAGGTAGAATACTTTTCTTGTACAGCTGATGTTCAAGTCATTTTACTGAGCGGTCTGGCTGGAGACCATTCTATGGAGTATGTCTGTGTGTGTATCTGTGGGTGTGTGGTGAGCTTTGTGAAGGTAGAAGAGTTGATACTGAGGGCTTTACATTTAGAATTTTGCAATTTGGCAAAAACAAAAACCAAAAAACTCAGACAAAAAATATATATATATAGTCCCACCTGATGCACAGCAGGTCGGCGTTTCTGAAGCTATAAGAGTTTGTTGTCGCTGTTGCTGAATTCTGAGACAACACTAATAAGAGATTTCCCAGAGCCAGAACCCTCCTGGCTGGCCTGGGAGTGCCCTGGCCACTTCACCTCCCTCACCCGGCTGCGCCTCGAGGCCTCTCTCCCTGCGGCTCCTGGTGTCACCACTGGCTGTGCGCCCCCGAGGCAGCCACGGGTGTTGCTGTGCCGCCCGCTGGCCAGGCACGCACACCCGCGGAGTGTGTCCGCGGATCTGGCTCCAGGTGGGAGGTGGGGAGAGGTCTGCATTTCCCTTCCGGAGCCCCAGTTCTGCACCTTGCCAGCCAGCGCGTGGATCCCAGTCCTACCTCCAGGCGGATTTGGATCCTATTTCGTGTCCCCCTTTCCCATCCGGTCTCCCCAGACGGAAAATGGTCCCCGAGGCTGGAGGAAGGGGGAGGGGGTACTTGCTTTTTAAGTTTTTTTTTTAATTTTTCTATTTTTCTTAAATAAAGGTTCGTTTCTGTACAACCACGAACTCCGCGCACCGTGCGAGACCCCGCTACCACACGGCCGCCTCGTTCATTTCTGGGGGGTGAGACAGGTGGTTCCCGTAGCTCGCCCCGCCGTTGACCGACAGCGACGAGAAAGGCGGGCTGGGCCCGAAGACCTCAGCCGACATTGAGTGTAGAGGCCCGGGAAGGCTGGGCTCCGGACTGGGCGAGTCCCCTGGGGGATGCGCCAGGATGTCGGTGAACCGCTGCGCCTCGCTCGACGGGTGGTGGCCGGGCAGCGGGTGCTCTAGGCCGCCCAGGGGCGTCCCGGACGGCCCTGATGATGGCACGAAGGGCAGGTCCACTGGCGTCTGAGCCTGTGAGGACGGGGGGCCTTGCGGGAAGAAGTCGTAGTTGCCCCCGGGCCCGTAGTACTCGCTCTGGTAATCTGCGGAGCGGCGGGAAAGAGGATGTCAGGGCGGGGCCCTGGGTGCAGCGGGAAGGCAACGCGGGGAACTCGCCGTTTGGGGGGCTCCCCTGAGGGCCTGGGAGCAGAGAGCAGGCTTGGTGCTAACACAGGAGCTGCTCCCTACCTGCCCGCCCGCCTCATTCAGGGTCGGGAATTTGGTCTTTGGTCTCACTATCTCCCCTTGATTTCCTCCTCATCCTTCTACCATCTCTCCCCGACTCTTCGCTTCTCTATAGAAAGCGAAAGCGCCTCCCGCGCTACCACCCGCTTCCAACGAAGCTAACTCCGCCTGGCTGTGCCGGGCCACTCGGCAGCACACCCACCTCCGTAGAAGAAGGGCCCATTGGGGATGAGCTCGCCCGGCTCCAAGCGGTCCACCAGCGGCCGCATCCGGCGCGGACTGCGGAAGAAGGCGTGGCGCCGGGCGCCCAGAGCGCTTAGCTGCTTCATCCTCCGTTCCTTGGAGCGACGGTTCTGGAACCAGACCTGAAGCACAGACGCCGCGGGGTGAGGCCACCGAGACTGCACCTCCCACTTCGGGTGTGCTGGGCCTGGCCCCTCACCCCTCCACAGCCTAGCTCGCCTATTCTGGGCTACCAGAGTGTGTGCATGTCTGTGTGTGTGTGTGTGTTGTGTATGGGGGGGTGTCTCTGAGTAGGACCGCTCAGGGTGGCCTCTGAGCCAATGGTGAACAGGATTCCCCACAGGAGGACCTGGGCAAGCCGCCCTGCCCGACGTGAGGCAGTTGGAGCTGTTTCTAACAGTCACTGTCACAATTACAGCTTCTTGGGGGCTGTACACACATAGACACTCAACCTCCCCAAACAGTGTCAGACACACAAAGCTTCCCTTTTGCATTCCTGGCAGCCCCCTCCCCTGCATGATAGTGACAGTGAATTAAACAGCCTCCTGTTGACACTCAGTCTCCCAATGATAGTGACACCAAAACCCAAAATCTCCTTTTCACACCCACGCACAATCTCCTAGTGCCAAACATACTTATCCACAGTCTCTCACTGATAGTGACACAGACATGCAACCTCCCATTCACGTGTGCACACGTTGACACAGTCTCCGAAGAGGCAAAGGGCCTTCCTCCGAGGGCAGCCTGTATATGTGTACCCACTGCAGACTCAGCCTCCCAGGCACGTCCATCCACCCCCTCGCAGAGCCTCCAGGCTTGGCGAACCGCACACCTAACCTTGCGCGCAACGCTGGGGGCCCGAATCATATGCAATCTCAAGTTCTCACAACGCACCCAGCACAGGTGCCCAGATGGCAGTCTCGGCTCCCCATCCCACTCTGCACCGCCCGAGGCAGAGCGGTCCCGACCCGACTCCCGCCCCACCACCTCTCCTTCAAACCAGGACGCTCCACCTCTCTTTGGAGGGAAAGTCTCTGCTCTGGGGCTTGTCTAACTGGGGCTAGAGACCCACAAAGTTGGGGTTGGGGACGCAGAGGAAGATCACGTTGTGCAGAAGCCAGCGGAATCGATTAACTCCGGTATGCACAGCGACCTCTCGGCTCCTTCCCAACAGGGGGTGGTGGTGCAGAAAAAGATCCCAACTTTGGCCGCGTTGTCCGACAGTGCCCCCTCCTCCGGCCTCATGCTGAGCTCCCCGTCCCTCCCTCTCCTCCACCACTATCACCTGCGTGGGACCGAGAAGAGAAAGCATAGGGATTTCTAGAAGCTCTACCCATCAAGCGGCGCTTCAAAGGTCGCACGCGATAAGGATGTGTTCGGACCTCTCCTCTACCCCTCCGCCAGCCTCCAGGGACTAGCTCCCCTCCTCGAAGCTGGGCGGCCTGGGTGCCTGCCTGGAAGAGCCATGTAAGACTCGGGGGGAACTGAGTGGCACGCCGGGGTCCTGACCTGGATGACGCGCATGTTGAGGCCGGTCTCCTGAGCCAGCTGCTCGCGGATGTGGCGCGTGGGTTTGGGCGTAGCAGCGAAGGCGGCCTTCAGCGTCTCCAGCTGCTTGGCTTTGATCGTGGTGCGCGGCCCTCGCCGCTTGGCGCCCAGGTTCTGGTCGTCATTCTCGTTGCTGCCCCCTTCCTTATCCGACACATTGGCGCTCTCCGAGTCCTTGGCGTCATCCTGCGACGGGTCTTGGGAGTCCGGAGACAAACTGGGGTCACTGCCTGTGGTGGCTGGGGAGAGGGAAGGGACAGGTGAGCAGCGGCCCTGGCAGGCCGTCCTCCCCCAGGACCCGCCCGCCCCTAGCGAGCCGGGAATTGGGGCCTCACCCGAGTGGAGGCTGTTCTCTTTGGCGACACTGCTGTTGCTTAGGTAATCCTCTTTGCAGACGAACTTGTTCTCGTCTATGATGTAGAGCTCCTCGCCAGTGGAGAGTTGCTTGTTACACATCATGCAGGTGAAGCAGTTGAGGTGAAACACTTTGCTCCGCGCTCTTCGCACCAGGTCGCTAGGGGAGATGCCCTGCGCGCAGCCCGCGCATTTGGTACCGAAACACCTGCAGGGGGGCAGGTTGGCGAGGGGCAGGGGAAGACAGGGGCCAGGAGAAGGACGACAGAGAAAGAAAGGTAGAAAGTGGAGGAAGTCGGAGACGAGGAAAAGGAAAAAGAAGAGAGAGTCAAAAAGAAAGGCAGAATGCCGATTAAGTAGGCAAGAATGCAGGAGGAGAGAGCGCGGGGCACCAGTGAAGTCAGGGAGGAAATATACATGGTTAGAGCGAGAGAGCGAGGGGCCCAAGCTGCCCCCACCCCTAGCCTCACACCCAGCGTTGTCTCAGAGGAGAAAAGTAAAGCGCTGCTAAGAAGGAGGCAAGGCGCCGACGGGAAGAGGAGGGAGGCACTTATTTTCCGATTAGATTCAGAGAACAGTCAAATTCGAATTACAGTTCCATATAAATGCACCCCGAGCTTTGCTTTTCTCTCCTAGCGTCACCTTTCACCGCAAAAGGGCCCGCACACAGGCTGGCAGTTGGCAAGGTCCAGTCCCTCCGCGGGTCAACAGCCGCGGAGAGCCCAGACGGCCGCAGCAGGGCCGCCACGTTCAAGCCGGGCAGTTTGGCGCAAGCTGGAGCCGCGGCGGGGCTCTAGGTGCCGGGCCGCGCTGCGCGGGAGCCAGGCCTCTGGGGCCCACTGGCAGCCAGCACCGTTCGCCACTCTCCGGCCCGGCTCCCGCTGGCGCGGCGGACTGAGGCTCAGAGGCTCAGCCTGTGCCTCCTCCCAGCAATACCAGCGTACCTAGCGCTTTGCGGTCCCCCGCAACCAGAGCCGCCCGTCTCGGGGAGGCATTGGGAACAGCGCGTCCCGGGGCTCTGAGCAAAGCGCCCCGGGTGGTTTCGAACCCCTACCCCGTCCCCTAGTTTGATCTGTCACCGCAAGCTCAGAGAAAAGCAGAGACCAATTCAGCCAAGCAACCCGGGAGATTTCTAACTCGTACAGGGGGATTACAATTCGCTTTTGCTCCTGTTCTTCTCTGTTGACTTGTGTGTTTGTGCGGATTCGGCGGCAAGATAGTGAATTTAAGAGGATACAATTAAAATGCTAAATGGAGAAGGGGCGTCCGGAGAAGTCGCCTGACTCACACGAGCCAGGTCTCGGCTTTTTCCCGGATTTCGGCAAGGAGGCGGCCGGCCTTGGCGGTCAGTGCCTGCGAGAGCTCCGAGCGGAGCCTGCGCCTCAGAGCCGAGGTCGGCGTTGCGCGGAGGCCTAACCTCTTGCCAAGCGGGGCAGCCGGGGAAGCAGGGGGAAAGGTCTTCGCGGAGGCTGCAGCCTCGGGGCGCTTCACAGGCCGCGGTGCAGTAGATTGCCCAGGCCGGCGCTGGGAGGCCCATCCGGATTTCAGGAAGACCCTGGGCCGTGCAGGATAGGCTTCAGGGCTGAGCCCTGTCGCTGCCACGCAGGCAACTCGGACACTCCACGCAAAAGGCTCCGTGGTTCCCGCCAAGACCTCTCTGAGACTGCAAGGTAGTGGCATGGAGCTAGCCCGGGCTTCTGAGCTCAGCCTGGAGGGCGAGCAACCCGGGAGGCCCAGAGAATGCAGCTGTTGGAGAGCTCGGCGGGAGGAAAGACAGGAGCCTGGGCTACAACAGCGGAGGCTGCGCTATCGCCTCCCAGCTTGGAGGGGCTTCTGGCTCAGAGGCGGGCTCAGACCCTTTCTTTCCAGGCACGTGCAGCCAAGCCCGGACCCACAATTTCCAGGACGCAAGCAGGGCCGCGTCCCGGGCGCCCAGCGCGCCAGCTGGCGAAAAGGCAGGCGCTCGCGGCACTTGGCTGCCCTCTCCAAAGGCAGCTCCTAAGGTGGCCACGCTGACCTCTGATCCGAAGCTGGCCAGATCCGAAGGGCCCGCGGGGACGGAGCAGCAGAGGCGCGCGAGGGATGTACTCACCGGAAGAAGTCGTTCTTGCAGTAGAGCTTGCCTTCCCGGGAGAAGCACTTCTCGGTCAGGTTGCATTTACATTCACAGCACTGGACGCACTTGACGTGCCAGGCCCTGTCCAGCACGTTCAAGAGGAAGCGGTCCAGGATGGGCCTTTTGCAGCCGGCACAGTGCACCATGGTCTTTGGTTTGGTCGGGTGAGGCCCGGAGGGAGAAGCGCAGGCGGAGGCGAGGGGACGAGTCCTGAAGACGACCGGCACAAGCTCCCCAGCCCCTCCAAAAAGAGGAGACACACTCGGCGGTGCGAGCCAAAACCGCGCAACAGGAAATCAAAAGAGGGGAAACGAGGCTGATGGGGCGGCGGGGGGGCGCCTCGGCGGAGCGTGCAGCCCGGGAGTCCCAGGCCCCGGGGCACGGCAGCGCCGCCGCAGCTCCTGGGGCAAGGAAAAGAGTCTCAGGCGGGCGAGAAAGCGACTCTTCTGCCCGGAGCCCGCGGAGGAATGAAGGTCACCGAGAACGGCGACGGGAACGGAAATAAATAAATAAGACGGAGACGGAGAAGGAAGAGGACGACGCGGCGAGCTCGGCTGGCGGGGAAAGCGCCACTGAGTTCTCTCCGGCTTGAGGTAGAGCTGTCAGAAGTCAAAGTGCATCTGCTTTTGTCGGGGTATGAGGGCGAGGGTGTGTGTGCCGGGCTGTCTGACGCCGGGATTTCCCCTCCTCTTTTTATGATAGAAAAGAACAAAACGAGTAGAGAAGCTTTGGATCCTAAACTGCCGGCATCGCGCAGCGGGTCGGGACACGCTGGGCGCCCGCCGTGGGCCTGGGGGAGGGGGCGGGGGCAGGCCGAGGGGGGAGGGCGGGAGGGGAGGGCGGGAGGAAGATCTCGTTGTTGATTGTTGTTGTTGCTTAGGTTTCCCCCCTTTTGGAGAAGTGTTTGTGTGGATCGAGAGCGGAGAGAGAGAACTCCGGGCGGACGCGGCCAGGTGCGCTCGCTCGCTCCCCACCGCCCTAGCCCCGTCACCTCGGCCCGTGGCCTGCCTGGCGGCCTCCGTGTTCTCGGGACGGCCCTCCCTGCGCCTGGACTCCTTCGGGGAGGTGATACGGTCTGGCTCCTCACCGCGCCTGGCCGTGCATCGTGGCTCCAGTCTCAACTCGCGGCCGCCTGGGCGCGCAGCCCCGCATCGCTCGGCCCACGCTCCGGCGGCCTGCGTCCAACCCCACAGTCGCTCGACTTTTTCTTTTCCTTTTCCCCTCTTTTTTCGTTGTGGTGGCAAATCTGAGTTTCCCTTCTAGCCTCTTCCCTTCTTTCCTTTTTTTTTTTTCTTTTGCAGCGGGAGGAGTCGGGGGGCAGGGAGAGTAGATTGGAGAGCTTTAAAAAAAAAAAAAACGTCCTGGTGCAGCAGCTACAGTTCTGTGCGACTGGAACAGCTCCGCACAGGCAGCCGCTGTCGCCGCCCGGGCCGCGGTTCGTTGCTGGCTGTCCCCGGACAAGCGTCCCTCTGTCCCTGGTCTCCTGGCCCAGACCGCCGCCCCGGCGCGTCTCTCCCCAGCTCCGGCGGCTCGGTCACTGCTCCTGGCTGTTGGCTGAGCTCTGGAAGCCCCCTCGCCTTAATGCAGCGCCCGCCGACGTCACGGCGGCCAGCGACCAATCAGCGGCTCGAGGTCCCTCTGTAAACCATTCTGCATCCCCCGGCCCGGGAGAGTGCCGGGAGACCGCGTTTAGAGGCTCAGTGGCGGCCGCATCCGCGGCCCGGCGCGATGCGGGCGGCGGGCAGCGAGGTGCCCGGGCCCCCTCCTGCTCCGGTAAGGCGTCGGTTTCGGTGGGAGGGACTGAGAGAGCGCGGGGGTAGGCGCAGGCGGAGGGCCAAGTTCTGCTGGAGGGTGGGAGTCATCTAAGATCGAGCCTTGTTGAAAGTTGGGGTGCAGCTGGGTCCGGGAGCCTCGGCGGCCCTGGTGTACTGTTGGACTTTGCAATTCAGCAGGTGTTGGCTTTCTTTTCTTTTCTTTTTCCCCTTCTTCCTTTCTTGGCCTGGAAGTTTGCCCCGGGCATAGCGCACATCTTGGGGGAGTAGATAGGGGAGGGCGCTTGGCAGCAGAATCTCCCTCCTCCGGTCCCTCCTTTTGTGACCCCTCCCTCAATCCAGCCAAAGTCCACCGGGTCCCGATCACTGGGAGATCTGGGTGTCTGTTTCCCAGCGCGGTCTTGCAAAGTTGATTCGGAGGTTTCCTCGTGGGGGCGGGGGAGACCACAGGCGCGGCGCCGGGGCGGGGGAAAGGAGTGGGTGGGGAAGCGCCTCGGGTGAGGAGTTGCAACCCCGGCGAGAAGTTGTGAGAAAACTGTGATCCGGAGACACCTTTTACACACAAAAACAAACGACTAGGCGGGAAACTGCGGGGTGTCAGCGGCGGCGGCTGGGGGATGGTGGTAGTGGCGGTGGAAAGGGGGGCCATCCTCGGGGCTCCACAGAGAGGCTGCAGTGGCTTGGGGTGTGCAGCGCTAGGGCATAGCGGGCCCGGCACTGGCACTCGTCCTCCCCTTTTCCAGGCCCTGGGCTTCCCCCGACACCCTCAGCCACACCCTCCGTATTTCACTCCTCGTGGAGCCATATCTCCCTTTTTCTGCTTGGAGTATAAACGCGGGATCACTGCCCACGGGGGCGGACTATCCCAGACGTGGGGGTCAGGTCCCGGTCCTGAGAGCTTTAGCCTCGAAGAGTCACTCTAGATCCCTGGCCCATGCCAGTCAAATAGCAAATTTCGTTTCGACGCTTCATTTCTATGCTTACCGGGATTTCTCCCGAAGTGAAGTCTGAGGTGGCAGGGTTGGGCAGTCTCGCTTTTGCTCCCCTTTTTTGTTTCTTGGGGGAAGGGGTGCTAGGAAGGCGCATTCGGCCCTAGCGGGGAAGGAAATAATGATGCATAGCCAGCCATGTATTTGGGGATTGGCCTTTTGACCCCATTCCCAGTGCGGGGCTCAGAGAGCCCACTCAGGGCCGGGAGCTAAGTTGGGGGAAGTGCGTGCCGAACCGCAGTTGCAAAGAACCTGGGCCAGCAGGGACTCCAACGCTCTGCAAATGGAATACCCTCTTCGGACGAACCGGGAAGCCGCTACAGCGAATTTGGTTTGCGCTCCGTTGGACTGGGGTTTTAGGGCTCTGCCAACGCCCCTTTCCTGCCTCCTCGCCTCCGCCCTCACCGCCCTGCAGCCCCGAGGCCCGCCGGCAGTCCTCGCCTTGCCGCCCGCCACCTTGTCATTGGAAGCCGAAGCAGAGGCCGCGGTGCGCCTTTTTGGCGCTCCGCCCATCCTGACCTCCGGGTGCGGGGGCTTCTCCGCACCCCCTCCTCTTACACCTGGGCTCTGGCTCCTCGCTGCGGGGAGGGCGGCGTTGGAGCTGGTTCTCTCTTGTATCAGCCCCCTCGGTGACTCTCTCCCAGGCCGGGGCTCAGGGCAGGGCTGGGGACTGGAAGGGCGGTTCTCCAACCTAGCAGGCTATCTTCGCGGATTCAGACTTGGCTTTGTGCTCCTCCTGCGGGCCCAACACTTCCAGGAACAAGCCGACCCTTACGCGGTGCTCCAGGACCCCGGGAGGCGCCAAGAGATGCGTGTCGCGGGGTCCTCTCCTCCTCCACCCGGACCCCGAGGCGCCTCCCCAGCCCTCTGCGTTGGGTGAGGTCCGCGGGGAGGGGCTGGTCCAATCGAGCGGTCCCCACGCTCCCCCCGTCCCCAGCTGTCTCGGTTCTCGCCGCAAGCGCTCTCGACCCAACCGCCCCTTTCTGGAATCTATAGTTGACCGAGTCCCGAGTGGCCCGCCCCCGCCCCCGCCCCCGCCCCAGCTGGGCTCCTTCTCATGCAAAGCAGAGGGGCCGCGGGGGTGGGGGTGGTTGGCGGGGACCAACGGGGCGACAGCTGGACCCGGCTGCCTGTCCTGCCTGAACTCAAGGCCCGTCGCCTCCTTTCAGGTGAACAGGAGGAGGCTGATCCACCCGTTTCGGGGTGCAGGGACCTCGGGATCTCGAAGTGGGTGAAAGAGGGCCCCACCCGCGGGAGGACCAGCACGGTAGGGGAGTTGAGGGCGAGGACAGGACGCGGGCTCTGGGGCATTGGGCTCTGCTTGTCCCGGTGTCCAGATGGCTCCGTAAACTGGTCCACGGGAACCAACCCCGGCGTCTACCAGAGTCCGAGAGCGCAACTCGAGGCGCTCCTCTTGGCTCCTGATTGTAGGTTTAAGTCCAGATTTAACGCCTCCACGGGGATAGTACACGAGATTAATGGTTTGGGTTTTGTTCGCTTCCATTGAGCTTTTATTTTAAAATGTAATTGGTCGCAGAGACAGAGAGAGAAAACTGACCAAATTTGCTGTCTCCGAAGCCTCTCAGTTCAGCTCTGCATTTAAACCAATGTCTGCTTGGCGAAGAGCGCCAACCTTCCCGCCTCACCCTCACCGCCACACTTACTGCCTGCGTCCTAAGTATACACGCGCTTCCCTGCCCAACGCCCTCCCAGTCTCACAGACCCACAACCACGCACACCGCCCCGGGTCCCGTAAATTCTGGACGGGGTGCCGTGAGGGTCAATTTCGCAGCCTAGTCGTCCCTCAGTGGCCGCAGATTCCTCTCCACCTCATCCCCAGGCACTCCTGGAAAAGGCCCCAGAGGACCCAGGAAGTCGCTTTCACGGTACCACAGGTTTCTCTTCCGAGAGCGCCTTGAGGATCAGCCCGAAAGCAGGGACGCTGCCTGGGAAACTGGAGATGGAGCGAGTTCTGCCAACCCTCCCCAGCCGCGCTGCCAATGGCCCCCTCTCCCGCGCCCCCTTTCCTCCAGCCGCCTCTCGGTTCAAAGCCCCACATCGCCTTGCTACCCAACGTTCCCGCGTGGCTCGCGCGGCCCAGGACCCCAGCCTTCCGGGCGGGCGTGCTCAGCTGCTATAGATCCCGGGAGCGGCGACCGCCCCTGGCCGCTTCCCTCCTTGCCCACCGCGCCCTTGTTCCGCCTAGGACCCCCAGAAAAGCGCGGTGAGGCCGTGAAAGGAGGCGCTTGGGGCGCCGGGCTGCAGGAATGCCAGCGGGTCCCTGAAGGAAGAGCAGGGAGCGAGCCGGTGCGTCCTGGACCCTGCGGGACCCGGAGACCACGCAAACTCCGCAGAGACACGGTGAGGACGCGGCAGGTTCAACGCAGGAAACTTTTGGCCCGGGTCCCTCGGATCTGATCGGAGCTCCCGCTCTATCCTTCTTCCTCTCTCGTTCGTTCCTGCCTCAGGCTGCCTTAATCTCACTCCATCACTCTCTACTGGAAATGACCTACTTGTGTACTGCACTTTACAGTTTATATCACTATCTTCCCTGAATCGCGTAGTAAGAGGGGGGATCGATATTACTTCCTTTTTCCTGGAGGAAGAAACCCAAGTTAGGGGATTTTCCCCGAGATCCCTGGGTCAGTGTACTATTGAAGATGAGAAGTTTGGGGGGCTTGTCACCTTGCTCCATTGTGTATTTTGCCCTGGGCACGTTTTCCAAGTCAGGAGTTGGGGGGTGGGGAGGGACCGCGAGGCCGGGACGGGCGGCATCCGGCCGGGCTTCACGGTGTGCGCTCGGTCTGAGTAAACAATGTGGCTTCCCACGAGGGCTGGAGGGACCCTGGGCATGGAAGGTGGGGGAGCGAGGTCGAGCGTGGCGATCTCAGACGCAAGTCAGCGCCGCGCCTCGGAGCAAAGACAGGACGTGGATAGTGCCGGAAGGGAGAGGGTGAGCTGGAGGGGGCAGGAGACAGACAGAAGCAAGCGTGCGGAGAGGGGCGGGAAAAGAGAATAAGGGCCGAAAAACAGAGGGAAAAAGAGAAGGAATGTGGAAAAGTACGCTGGGATCAAAGGAGGAAAGAGGAGTTGGAGGAAATGCGTGGAAGAGTAGAGGAAAAGGAACGGAAAAGAGACCCAGAAAGACACCCAGCGCCAAAAAAAAAAAAAAAAAAAAAAAAACGGCAACGGGGAAAGGCGCGGAGCCGAGGACCCTGCAGGCGCTGCTGGGCGTCCGGCGGGACTCCGGGGGTGCGTGTATGTGACAGGCGCGTTCGTAGGCGGCAGGAAAGGAGGCGGCGTGTTAGGTGGGAGACTCAGCGCCCGTGGAAAAGCGTGTGAGCGGCTCTGGGCAGGAATCCAACAAATAAATAAAACGTCTAAGACGGCGTGACAACAATGCGTATTTGGGTGCGTGCCCGTGTTCCTCTGTCTGCACACACACTCGCACCCGGTAAGGAAGACAAACGGGGCTCGTGCCTCGGAGTAATTAATCCTCTCACTAATTGACTCTCTCCCCTTACCTAATGGCGGTGGTCACTGCCGATATCTAGAGAGATATCAAGTGGAGGGGGAGAGGGAGAGACCCCCCCCCCCCCACCAGCTAATCACCTTTGGGACTGCTATTGAGTTCTTTCTGTATCTAGAAGCTCTAAGCTCCCCCTCTTTTGGGGAACAAGGTTCAGTAGAGGTGGCTGCCTCATCAGCCCCTCCGTGTTTGCATTAATAAAGATCTCAGATTAGGGGTGACCAGGAGCCTACTCTACACACACCCTGAGGCCCTTCATCAATCTCTGAGGCTGAAAGCCACCCACTGTCCCTCTGCTGGACATTTCCTCCCTCCAGGCAACACCACAGCTCCCCCTCTCCTGTTGTTCCCCCCTGGGAGCCCAGACCCTGCACCCCCTCCTTTCAGTCACTACTTACTCTTCCCAGGACCTGAGATGTGTCCTGCAACTCCTAGCAGAGCAGGTAAGGTTTTGAATGGCTTGATTAGTAGCCTTGGGTAGATGGAGAGAAAGCAGCCAGAAGGATGAGGTCAAGGCAAGGATGGGAAGAAGCTTCTAGAGATAAACCCACTCAGACATGGGTGGAGAGAGACAGAATCACAGAGGAGAGAAGAGAGCAATGCATGCCTGGCAAGAATGAGGCCTCTGAGGACAGAGGAGAAAAAAGGTAGACAGGACACCGTGGGAGAGAGCATCAAGTGTGCAGGAGGGCAGGAAGGTGACCATGTCTCTGTGACTATGAAGGGGACAGTTCTAGCTCTCTGTGTGAGCATGGGCAGGGGCCCCTCTTGGTTTTTGTTTTGTTTTGTTTTTTTGGTGAGGAAGATTAGCCCTGAGCTAACATTTGTTGCCAATCCTCTTCTTTTTGCTTGAGGAAGATTGTCCCTGAGCTAAAATTCATGCCAATCTTACTCTATTTTCTATGTAGGACACTGCCACAGCATGGCTTGATGAGCAGTGTGTAGGTCCATGCTGGGGATCCGAACCTGTGAACCCTGGGCTGCCTAAGTGGAGCGGGCAAACTTAACTACTACGCCACCAGTCTGACCCAGGCCCCTCTTGTTTTTCCCCACAGCGCCCTCCAGTTCTCAGGAGTGGGGAAAGAGCAGGGAAGAGAGTGTTGGACTCAGATCCACCCCCTGGTAGCTGAGCCGGCAAGGGAAGGGGCCCAAGGCCCACAGGCTGTCTGGTGATGCAGCTTTGAGGCTTGGGTTTGGGAGGTGAATGTCAACTCTCACCCCTTCAAGGTGGCAGCTTGGCTCTGGTGGTCTCCTCAGAGGCTAAATAAATAATTACTGTGATCCATAAACCACCCAGCCGAAGGAGAGGAAGGAGGGGGAAAGGGCAGCTCCCCAGAAAAAGAAATCCACCCACCCCCCCACACACACTAACCACATTCTTAGTTGTCCCTTGGGAACATTTGTACATTTGACCAAAGCAAATCCCCAAGCAGTAACAGCAAAATTCGTCACAGGGGCTGGCAGTCCAGAATTGGGGGTTTGGGACGGGGTGGGGGGGGGGGAAGTCGGGGGGGGGCGTGGAGGGGGTGAGAAGAGCCGGGTGGTCATGTTTGAGCAGGTGAGAAACTTGACTCTTCTCTCCCTGGGTCTGTCATGCTTTAGAAAGAAAGTGAGCAGGAGGAATAAAGTTCCTGAGAAAAGCAAGAGAAGGGCATATAAAAGGCAAATCCAAACCAGAAAGGAAAGAAAGTGAAGAAGAAAGAAAAAGGCAGGGAGGGGGGAGAGACGCTAATAAAAAAGGGTGAAGGCGCCCCAGGAGGCTGGGCCTCGTCCCAAACCATCCGTCTTCATTGTCTCCGTGTGTGCAAAGGCAACTCCCGCATAAGGAAAAGCCACTATTGGAGCCGCGGCTTTATTTTATATCCTATACATCAGGAGGGAGGCAAAGCTTTATTTTCGCCAAGAGACAGATATTTTATTTCTCTCTTACGGTTTTATGTGTGAGAGATGTCAGGTTGCCACAATGGATGGCTAATGCATAGGCAAGAGGAAGCCGTGTTGGCATGCTGTGTGTCATGGGGTCTTGGGGGGGGAGCGGGCCTGGGATTTAGGGCCGATGAGACACTCTGGGGGATTTCTGCTAAAACATCTCTCTTCATAAATCCAGAAGCATGGTCAGCTCAACAGGGAGAAGAAGGAGTTTTAGAGGGAAAAGAGTTGGGCTTAGTAATAAACGAACACACAAAGGAACCGCTTACCTTCCAACAGGCTTGGGCAGCGGGGCAAGGTGGCCCTGTGGGAGTGCGGAGACCCACATCCAAACACGCGTGCCATTCGCAGGGAAGTGTTTTCCTGCATCCAATGTTGCTTTACTTAATTTCTTGTTTTATATTTTTCTGCCCTTTTTTTCCCCCTTCACCAGAAATCGCTTTTCACCTCCTCAGAGCCTTGAGGGGAAAGAGCTATTAATTTGCAAATCATCTGATCTGTGAAAGGATCAAGATGCCTGTTTTTCTCTGCTAAATCCAATGTCTTGAGTGGACACACATATGCACACATGAGCCCGTCATGCTGCGAATCCTGGGAGCGTGGGCGCCAGATTGGAATGCGAGAAAAGCCGCCCCACCCACGGGACCCGGGACCCGCGGCCGGATTTAGCCTTAGATCCCAAACTGCATAATGTTCATGTCTTTAAACCTGGAGAGAAGGGGGAGAGGAGGGGACAAAGAGACCTAGGGGAGGGTGTTAATTAACATGTTCTGTTCAGGACTTAGACTAGTCTCTCCCGCTTCCAACCTCCCAAACCATTTCTTATAAGAGTTGCTTTTATTCATTCTCATGACCTACTCTTTTAATTTTTTGATATCTTGGTTTATATTCACTGTGGAGCAAAAAGGGGACCCTGCTTTTTCCCTCTTTTCGGGGGATCGGAGGTGGCACAGGATCTCTAGACAATGAATGTGGGGGACCTGGCCATACTGTCCTTAGCTGTGGCCTTTGGGGAAGACATTTAACCTTTCCCGGCCTCAATTTCCCCATCTGTAACACGAGGGGATTGGGCTAAATGATTGCTAAGGTCCCTTCCAGCTCCGACCTCCTCTGACCAAATGAGATAATGTGTGAAAACACTTTGTAAACGCTAAAGCCGGACGAATGCCAGGGATTTTTATTACGATTCTAATGAATCCTCTTTTCTCCACATGGATCTCGGCTGTTTAGCGCCAGCAAGCAGGCTAAAGAGGGCCAAAAGCGAGAAAGCTTAGCGGAGATGGAAAAGCTCTGTGGTGTGGACAGAAAAACCCCTGCATCTCCGGAGACATTCTCTCTCTGTGTCCCCCACCCCCACCCCAGGCCTGGTGGGAAGGGGTGGGGAAGAGGAGGCGGCCGTGCTCGGTATGATATGGAGTCAGTTTGTCTCCAAGTGACTGACAGAGGAACCTGATGTGAAGGCGATTTGCAATTGTTTTTTCCAGGAAGAAAGGAAAGAGCAAGGTGTAGCTGATTAGCAAGTTAATTATTTCAGTACCCCAAGGGTTCCAGTGTGGTGGTAAGTTGTCCAACCCTGGTGTAATTTCACAGTCCATGCATTTCCTGGTGAGCACCTGGGGTGCCCGGGTCTGTCTCTTTCTCCATCCACCTGCCTTATGTCTTCCTGACACACCTGGGAGGTGGGTAGGGGCTGGGGTGGTAGGCGGTGCAGTGTGTATCCTTGGCCTAGGCTGTAGGTGGGGGGCTAGACAGAGAACAGGGTGGAGGAAGCCTTCTGGCCCTTCTTTCTTCTTTAAAAAAATCTTTTGTTTAATAAATATTAATGAGGCAGGTTATCAGAAAGTGGAGCTGCTCTGAGGTTATTAACCCAGACTTAGCAGGGAAAGAAACTGGGTTTGAGGGGCCCTTTTGCCTCTCACCTCCTTCTAGTCCCGGCCAGCTCTCCAATGCTTGTGTTAGCCAGCTCTGGCCACAACTTGGTCAGCATGGGCCTCCACCAGTCCGACTTCAAGATCTGACTTCCCCTTGGGGGAGGGGAGGGAGGCCTGTGTAGTCAAATGGACCCCTCCCCCGAGAGATAAGTTGGGGTTGTGAACATTAGCCTCAGAATTAGCAGCTTTTGCTGCTCTCTGCTCTCCGGGCTGGCAGGGCCAGCCCCCTGCGGCTCCTCTTGAGATGGACAAGGGGAGGGCTCCCCAGTTTACTTAAGAGTGGTCCCATCTGCTCAGACTGGCCTTTCATAAGGGGAGGGATTTATGCAGTGTCCTTGTGCACAGACCTGGGATTTGCCTGAAAACCTTGGGCCTCTGAGAATATTACTGAACGCTAAAATGTTCAGCCCTGGAGATGATTCACGATTTATCTGCACAGACAGGGCATGTGTGCGTGTATATGTGTGTGTGTGTGTGTGTGTGTTGGGGAGGGGCACACACACATTGATGGGTACTTTTCACCATTCTTACTTCTAATCCAAACATTAGGAAACTTTTTTTTTCTGTATTCGCTCAGGAGACAGTCCGTGGTACCGGGCTCTGGAGAGACGACTTCCTGACTTCAGCGGTGTGAAGATGGTACAATACTTTTTGGTGCTGACGTTCAGCTGTCTCCCAGGCAGGTTCGCTGATATCCCTGCTGGTGGAGAGGGGCTGGGGGCTGTCTGGAAATATAGCTCTGCTGACAGGGTGGCAGAGGATTTGGGGTCCAATCGCTGTTCAAATTAGACTTGGCAGTCTTTACCTCGGAGGCCTCAGGAGTCTCAGGGGTCTCAGTAGGAGAGAAGTTACAGAAACTTAGAACACAGGAAAGCAGATGTCGGGGGCTCCTTGTCTCAGTCCTTGTACTGCCATGCTAAAGCAAAGCCCAGGGATAGTAGAAAGAGATCCCAGAGAGCAGGGCTGTGAGGTTCCAGGTGGGATCTTGGCCCTGGCTCCTGGGAGATTAAGAA